GGACCTTGGACGGAACGATAGAAGAAGAACGACGGCAGAAGACAGGCTGGAGACTATGTCCGAGTTTCTTGCGATTTCTCCAACTACCACAGCGAACAAAATGTAGGACCCTCTTTTTTAGTACTTTAATTCTTGGCGTACCTACTTAATTTTGATCTTTTTTGTAATGCAAAGTTTTAATTTGCGACATTCGTTTGTTACGTCACTAGACGTCAACTGTCACTAACATTATTATTTTTTTTCTTCTTTCCATAAAGGAAAAGGCAAAGGTTTTACACCATACAGCCAAGTCTTGGTACATTATTCTTTTTTGGTACATGAAGTTGAATTATGTTTCTGTAAATATGGCCGCCACAAAGAGGATAGGCAATTTGAGGCGGCGTGCTTGGATTGACTCGGGATTCCTTAGAACGGGCAGATACGGGTATTTTAGTTCGAGATTCGTATAATTTCGCGTTTTAATCTTCGATTAAGGCACAATAGCACTATCCTATTCCACTTTAAACTAGATTTCACAAAATAATTGAAAGTCAAAATAAAAACGACACTTTTCCCTCCAAAAGGTCCAGAGCGAATCCTGTCACTAACATCTTTTTCTGACAGTTACATAGCGATTATTCGTTCGGAAACGTGTTTAAATCTGTGATTCGTTTTCTTTTCGCTATAACATGCCAATGTTGCGCCGACATATTTTATTTTATTTGTATACTTTATTATTAATTTCCGTAAACGGAGAAAACTATTAATTTACGATGCTTTTGTGTCTTGTTTTCTAATTATTTTTTGTCATTGTAAGCTATTCCCTTTCACACTGCTGGCGGGTATAATGAATATTTTAGGTTTTATTATTATCATCATTACTTCAGTTTTTTAATTTTTATCTTAATTATATTTTATTTTTAGTGCTTATTATTATATATTATGTTCTCTGTAATTACATACATATTATAATAATATATTAAATGTTGCAAACTAATGCCTACAACAGTAATGACTCTTTGAGTGATGGGTTGGATTTTCACTCAGCGTCTTCGCTTTCTGATTCCAGTTTTCGTAGTGTGTCTCGACCATTAAATGAACTTCTGGAAGCTAATTTTTCAGCCGTCGCGAAAACCTTTAACGCAGTCCATATAAATGCACAAAGTATTCCTGCCCATTATGCTGATTTGGTGAGCACTTTCTCATATAATAGGAATATTCACGCAATTTTAGTTTCGGAATCTTTTTTAAAACCATGTCTCCCTTCGTCTTTCTACGAGCTTCCTGGTTTTCATCTCATCCGCAATGATAGGACTGGTAAGGGTGGTGGTGGGGTTGCTATATACCTTAAGGGTAATCTTCCTTTCAATATTTTAGATAAATCCCCTTCTCCTTATTCTGAATCATCTGAGCATCTTTTTGTGGAAGTTTTTTGGGCCATCTGAAGCTCCTTTTGGTAGTTTTTTACAGCCCAAATCTACATATTGATTATTTTAGTAAGTTTGAAACTTTATTGGAAGATTTGGCACCCACGGTTGATCATACAATCATTATGGGTGATTTTAACACCTGCCTGATTAAACACGACTCCCGTTCTACTCAGCTTCGCTCAATCGTGGATTCTACTAATCTTAGCATTCTCCCATCTTCTTCAACGCACCACTTTCCTGGATGCCAGCCATCTTTGTTGGACCTTATTATTGTGTCCTCAACTGACCATGTTAGCGTACACGGACAATTCCCTGCCGAGGCCTTCTCTTATCATGACCTTATTTACCTGTCATACAGAATCCGTTGCCCTAAGCCTAAACCTCGGGTGGTCATGCACCGCAATTTTAAGAACTTTGATGAAGGTAGCTTTATGCGTGACCTTGGCGGTATTGATTGGGACGCTGTTCTTAGAGCCCAAACCATCGACCTGAAGATGGAAATTTTCAACTCGATGCTTATCCAGCTTTATGACATCCATGCTCCACTCCGTCCTGTCCGGCTGAAGCATCTTCCGGCTCCTTGGCTCACAGCAGACATTAAAGCTTTAATGACTAGGCGCAATCTTGCTAAGGTTCGTTATAGAAATGATCCCACAGACGTGACCCACCGTAAATTTAAGGACCTTCGGAACCGTTGCAGCAGGGTTTGCAGGGATGCGCAGCGCCGTCACATACATGCCTCAGTTTCCAATGGAGATTCTGCTAAGGTATGGTCATTTCTTAATACCCTTGGTAATAATAATTGGCAAGTCTAAATCTCCTACTCCTTTTAACCTTGATCCTAACTCTTTGAACTTTCATTTCACTACGCCTTCCTTTCTTTCTACTAGTGTTAAGCAATCTACGCTACAGTCGCTCTCTACCGCTTACGACTCACAACATCCGGCTTTCTCTTTTAGGTCTGTGACCAAGGGCGAAGTTGAAAAAAATATCTTGGCCGTTAAATCCAATGCTGAAGGGCTGGATGGAACAAACCGTAAGATGATCTTACACAGTTCTTCTATTCTTGTTCCTATAATTTGCCATATTTTCAACTTTTCACGCGACACTGGCACCTTCCCGAGCTGCTGGCGTCATGCTGCTGTAATACCTATACCTAAAACCTCCAATCCATCTTTACCTTCTCATTTTCGTCCTATTTCTATTCTTCGGTTCCTTTCCACAGTTCTTGAGCGTCTTGTCCATTGCCAGATCACAATATTCGTGAACTTGTGCAATATCCTTAGTCCTTTCCAATCTGGCTTCCGTTCAGGGCATAGCACTGTTACTGCCTTAACTAAGGTATCTGATGACATTCGCGAGGGTATGTCGAATCAACATTTGACAGTATTGGTTCTCTTAGATTTTTGCAACGCGTTCAATACTGTTGACTTTGATATTCTGTTAGCAATGCTGAAATCGGTCCTTGTGTCAGATTTGATAGTGGAGTGGTTTCGCCACTAACTCGTTGGGCGTCGGCAATGTGTTCGTGTTGACAATAAGCATTCTAGCTTCTGTGACGTTACTGCACGCGTGTCTCAGGGCGGGGTTCTCTCTCCTCTTCTTTTTTCCATCTTTATAAACTCCCTTACTCCCTTACTTTCTTGCCAGTATCACTTGTACGCCGATGACCTTCAGATTTATTCTCAGTCTCCTGTGTACGACGTGGACAATTTAATCGCCGACCTTAATGACGATCTCGCGACTATACACGATTGGAGTCGAATCCATGACCTTACGGTCAATCCTAACAAGTCGCAGGCGACCGTCGTTGGAGGCTCGAAGCAAATCGCCAAATTAAATAATGCCACTATTCCCCCGCTTTTCTTCAACTCCTGCCCACTGCCTTACAGTAATGTTGTTAAAAATCTTGGCGTTCTTTTTGACTCCACTCTGTCTTGGTCGCCACATATCGCTGAGGTGAGTAGGAGGGTGTTTGCTGCCTCTGGGTCATTGCGGCGTTGGAAAAATCTGCTTCCTGTGAGGACTAAGGTTGAACTTGCGCAATCGTTGCTCTTACCTATTCTTGATTACGCTGATGTCTGTGTCATTGACCTTAACGAGGATCTGTTAAGCAAACTCCAGCATCTATAATCTTTGCATCAGATTCATATACGGATTGCGCAAGTTCAATCATGTGGCCGAATTTAGGAGAAGGCTTCAGTGGCTCCCTATCAAGTTGCGCCGTGAGGAGCACGTTCCCAGCTTTCTTTATAATGTTCTATACGACCCTCGTACTCCGCCATACCTTAAGGTTCGTTTTCGCTTCCTCGGGGGTGATCACAACCGTGAACTAAGGTCTAAAATGGATAACCTACTGAAGCCTCCTTTCACTCGCTCTGAGTATTACAAAAATTCCTTTACGATTAAAGCTGCAAAATTGTAGAACGATCTCCCATTTGAAATCCGACATTCTAAGTCGCTAACTATTTTCAAAACCGGATTGCGTAAATATCTTTTATCACAGTCCTAGTCTGCAACATGTGTATTAGTAAGTATAAGTTATTAGTAAGTATAAGTTTATTTAGGTATATTTATATATACATATATCTACGTAGGTATAATATGTCATTATTTTTTAAATATTTTATAAATTACTATGTGTCTTTATTTAATTTTTTTTATTTTGTATTTTTTTAATTTATACAATTTTATTTTTTTATATTTTTATTTTTGTATTTGTAAAATTGGCACACTACGTCTCCCGCTCCGATTAGCTTTCCTTTAACTCTAAGGTTGTCTGGAAGAGATCGCTCTTAGCGATAAGACTGCCTTTGCCCACATTAGTTTTAAGTTGTTTATGTACTATTCTTGGTCTTGTGTGTGAGCAATAAAGTGTTTATCTATCTATCTATCTTTATAGAAATTGTTATACATGTGATTTTCGCAATCTGATTTGGTAGCAAGATACTGTGTCTAAAAGTAGAAGCTCACCATGTCAGATTCCTTGGAAGGACCAATTCAAGAATCGAACATCTCTACATTGGTTCTGGTGTGAGTGTACTGAGTGATCCTCTAAGATATTTTGTTACTCTAATATTAATAGTATAGAGTCATGAGCAGGTCAAACTTGACACTTAAAATTTAAATTGAACGCTATGCCGCTTACGATAACACTGGATCACAGTCAAACAAAAGTGTCAAGTTTCACAAGCTCTTGACTGTGCAAGGAATTCCCTACTTTGACACTATGAAAGATTGTGATGTCTGGTATATCATTTATCTATTTAATTACGAAGGAAATCGTTTACAAAGTTTTCATCGCCATCTGAACGCATCGTTTGTTCATAATACGGGAAATACCAAATTTAAAATATCAACATAGCCTGTAACCTACGTAACGCAGGTACGAGATGCTCTAATAACGCAATGTAATCGGAATTAAATTGGAACGACATTTTTAAATTGTAATAAAAATAAAGTTGTAACCAAGCAATATCATTATTCTTCTTCCCCTACCCCCAAAATGCTTTCTCTTGTATTTGATGAAATTACTTCCTTTTTAAAGCATACCTAAGTTAATAATTAACTAAGTACATTATCCTTCCTTACCTTGTTTACACTGATTTTCGAGCTGCTGCAAAAGATCGTTGGCGAGCTCCGCACGGCTAGGTTTGGTTTCCGGCGGCGACTGTGGGTACAGGCTGATGGTGCCGTCATCTTGCTGGTACTTGCTCGGCTCGAACTTCGTTGCAGCGCTGGGAAGGGTCTTAAGCAGATCTGTTGACAATGTTCATAATTTTAGAATAAATTGATAACTATACTCTTTATTTTTTCTTTGCAGGGCAATACTTTTCATTCAACCCGTTCTTTACGCCAGAATAATTTCTGGCATCTTGGCCATTGTCGTCTACTAAAACGTTACGTGGCCTCTCCTGTATTACGCAGTTAAAAATAAGCATTCATTATACATCCTGATAACGACAATTTGAATTGTGGAATCGACAATCACGGTAACTAATATAACATCCATTTACTATAATGAATACTAATTAAAAATAAATACTAATTGACTTTCGCAGCGTTGATTTTATTAACGAAAATTTACAAATCTTACTTTGTAGAAGAGAGAGCTGGAAGTCCCTGCACAGGTCACACATTCCATTATTTTTGTAACAACACATTTTTTACACGAATTTCGATTTACAGTACAAGAACAAATAATTTATAATACTGAACGTCCAATCACTTTATTTAATATAATCAAATGCGACGTTTATCGGCGGGGAGCTTCAAGGTAATAAGCTTAGATAAGTGATGGACAAAATACAACGGGGAGGCTGGATCTTCAGTATATATATGAGAGATATCTGTCGCACGATATTACGTCAAAGTAACGCCCAGATGTTGTGGTGCTTTAAATCTTTACTGATAATGTCACAACAACCGCCGACTTTGTAAAAACATCCTTCCTATCTTGACAAAGCAACGGACTTTCGCTTTTAATAGGAGTATACTCATAATAATAATATTCCAAACAAACTATAATGCAACTATTTTTATATCATAAATGCATAACAATTTTGACTCACTATAAATTTTAAATGTTTGATGGTGACCAGGAATATGTTAACTGGATCTCGGTACTATGAACAACAGAAGCATCAAATTTAAACTTAGATTGAATGCGCGAGTCGATGTGTGCAGTCGACACTGATTTCAAGCAGTTATCGGTGAATTTGTTGATGTCATAATGGAAGATATTACTTGTGTGACAGCATATTCATTATAAGTAGACATAAGTTAATTTAAATATTACCTAAAATTACAAATAACATTTTTACACTTCATTTTCTTCAATTTTATACTTAAAAACATCAACAATCTCGGTATCGCAGGTTTTTTCGATACAAAAGCGCATTCCATGTTAGCGAACTAAACCGAACTAAAGGTAAATAAATGCTTATTTACCTTTAGTTCGATTTAGTTCGCTCGCAATTATTCCTCATTGATTATGTAGGAGTTGAAACAAAAATTTAAATCATTTATTTACTTAGACGAATAGTTCTTCCAAAGCTTTTAAAGCTCTATTATTTTCATAATTAGATAGGTACGATTATGTACTTTGTTTGTTTTAAATGGCTATAACTAAGATTAGTGTTTTTTTTGGGTGGAGTTGTTTCGAAAAATAACTACGCCACATTATCAGCAGCGTAAACCCAGGATGCTGAATGCAAAGGAAGTTTACAAGACAACTGATCGCAAATCGTAACTAATATGGTGATTTTTTTAAAATAGGACTTTAAAAAAATATGACGCACAAAGTTTATCTATATATATATCTTTGTTACGAACGTGACCTCAGCTAAGCGTGTCATCCGAACATACCACCAATATTTTTCCATAAATAAATCGATCATATCGACTGATATTTTTGTGCAACTGATATAGATGCCCGACAAACAAGTGTAATAACATTATAATGTCAAAACAAACCATTTTTCATTGAATATAAGATAAGTAATAGAAAACAGGGACTCCAATGATAATATGCAATCGAAAACATGGATGGCTGGCAACTAAAAACATGTTTTTAAAAGGAATCTTAACATGACGTGATTTGATAACACAAAATAAGCATAAACAACGATTTCTTACCGATCAATCGCTGAGACACACCCATATTTTTGGCTTAGCAACTATTTGTCCGTGGAAGATGTCACGCGGTGGAGATAGTAATAATGTCAGTATAGTTTGAAGTTCACTGGTAAAATTATATAATCCGTTTACTGGGACCGATTGTTTAATTATATACATATTATGTCAATGTTATCTTAATCTGAAGTTTGGCTCCGAAATATTAAATACCTCTTAATATTTCAAAAATTATGATAGCATTAATGGAAAGTCGACTTTTTTTTTATAACATCAAGTGACGGGACGAACAAGTCGTGCGCCTGATGGTAAGCAACACACCTGTCCATAACAGTTACAGTGCCACTCAGAGCTTTAAATTGCAAAGTTCTGAGGGGCACTACCACTGCGCCAGTCACCCTGAGACATAAGTTGATAAGTCCCATGTGCCTGTAATTTCACCAGCACCCTTACCCTTCTAAACCGGAACACAGTAACGCTGACATTACTGCTTGGCGGCAGAAATAGGTAAGGTGGCAGTAATACCCTGGGCGAACTCGTTCACAAGGAGCTCCACTGCTACTAAATATTTATTAAGGGACAATAAATAAAAATGAGAAAATTTGTAAACGATCGATGTCGTATTTTCTGTTGATCAACATGTGTGATCAGACAAAATCGAGTAAATGGGTAAGAAATAGACAATCGTCATCATATTTCTTGCAGATTGACACGTGTCGATCGCCAAATAATCGAGCAAATCTGTAGGCACCTTTAGTTGTATTGAACAAACACAAAGCTATTGTTAATTATCCCAGTAAAGCAACCTGGCCTGAAGCGACTTCTCAAGACCATACAACATAGCAAATGTTAATTACTTGTCTTTTTCACTCTAATGAAAATCGTCTACATTCCGTCTCGTTTTTATGACCTTAAAACTAAGGCATTGCACAGGTAGAAGCGAAAAGGGTAAATGGTTGACAGTCAGGACTCGGTTGGAGTAAATAAGTTCCATTGAACGTTAATAAGGTAACTTTGGAAAGTAACATTTTAAAATATGTATTAGGATTGTAATGCTTGTTTGATTTGAAATTGGCGGTTTGCTAGCTTTTACGAATCGTTGTTTGATAGGCATCAAAAGGAAATTTTGTGTAAACGTAGAAATTAGAGTAGATAACAATTTTTCAGCAACAGTTAAGTTAAATAGATAATTTAGTTAAGATACATCTTCTTTGTAAGTTTAATTAAACGAAAAGGCTGCTGGAAGGAAATGGATACAACAAATTGTGGATCGGACAAAACAACGTACATAGGAAGAGGCCAATGGCCAGCAGATGAGTACAGTAGGCTAATGATGATGACGTCGTAACGAAACTTTCTCCAACTGCCTAGAAATAACTTCTAGATAGTTGGACGAAAAATGGCTTGGGTTGCGGCAATTTCTGATCACCTCCTATTTCAAATATGCTCCGTTCGGCACTGATACATAAACGATATTCATATGTATTTTATTTTAATAAAATGCGTAAATCCAGGCGCTAACAAAACGAATGCAAAATTATTTGGTAATTTAACAGCATATGTTTATATAAAAACGTCTTACTCCAAAAAGTACTATATTTCGTCATGTTACCAAAAATAGATAAGTCATATCAAATATATTAACATACCAATCAACAGTTGGAAAATTATGGAAATATATTTAATACGTGACGCGCGTAAGAAGTTAACCTTTCTGATAATGCGAACACGAGGTGAGTTCGTGGGGGGTGTCGCCAGGAATAACGACAATTAACGCCATCCGTTGCAAATGAGGCGATAAGCAAGAAAAACAGCTATTATGATTATAAGTGATACGCGCCCTCGCGAGATGTAACATACCACGTGTTGCATAAATGATACTTATTTAAAAACAGATAAGGTGTTTCTAACGACGACAACGACTACAATATAAAACTTTCCATATACATTTGTATATTAGACAGAAAATAAAACCTAATATTTGTTGAATACCTAATACTTTTTTATAAAAAGGGAAATATTAGCACGCGAGCCTTATAAGAGCAAAGCGTTTTAGAATCATAAGCAATGATTAAAATATTAACTGTTGTTCGTTTCAATGGTGAATGGATATAACTAGAGAAACAAGCATGTACCAGGAAGTTACCATACTCTTCAACGACGTGGGACATCCCCCAACACGTAGAGAGCCGAGATCCAGTACAAGGTCAACAATGACTAATAACACGTGTGCAGGAAGTTGAGATAAACAACTAGTTTTTGTTCTTTTTGTTTCGGTTTTGATCTTAGCAATAGCTAAAAGTCTAGATATATATTATAAGATAAATATCTATATAAAACCAAATTATGAACGTTGGTACGCACTGGTCGAAGTTCAACATGATAACAGATGTCCCGACATAGATAAGCGTATGGTATAGTCACCTTTGGCTAGCTTCAATATCCATTATAATATGATATTGATAAGTTGTATTTTCGGGTTTAAGAAGGAATATTGTGCGATTACTGAAACATAACAACTTTCTTATAAAATACAAAACCGACCTTAAAAGTCCGTGGAAATACATCTATTGAAATCTATTACCGGAAAGTGCGTGAAACCGAATTCATTCCCTAGTTAGCCACCTTTAGAGTTGGAATATTTTTTTCAAATTTAAATGGGACCAATACTGAGGTACTCTCTTTCCAATAAAAAAAAGAATCGTCAAAATCGGTTCACAAATGCCGGTGTAATCGCGTAACATACATACATAAAAATACCCGAATTGAGAACCTCCCTCTTTTTTGAAGTCGGTCAAAAATAGTTTTATATTTTATAAATTTTACCAAAAATAAAGTTTTGCAGTTCTTAAATTAGCAGATGTTCGGACCTGCCCTCTAGCGACGTAATTAGAAACTGTACTGTAAACCGATTGTGAAGAAGTCTCTTCGGCTTATGTCTGTAGATAATGCAGATCAATGTTTATAGAAAATATGTGATAAGTCAGTTAACCGGTTGAATCTAAATCAGCTATCCTGGAAACCAGTTTGAATGAATTATATTTACCATTGCAACTTTCGGGCAATGGCGATAACATTAACTGGATATAAACTGGTTGGTACTAGAATGAAGCAAAATTAGTGTC